CTTAGATAGGAAAGATAAAAAAGATAAATAGGCAGGTAAGGTGCAAAGAGTTGTAGTTGCAAGATGATATCATGGGGGTATATTTACATAATAATGTTTAAAGCACATATAGCAGTTATACAAATACAAGTTGATTGAGGTTTAAGTTACATATTGAGCTTAGAGCATATACATATTTTACCTGAACAAGTAAAATATCATTACTGTCATTAGGAGGAATCTCACTGAGAGAAAGAGAACAGTTAAATGTCAAACAAATACACCAAAATAACACTATTTCTACTTATTTCAGTTAACCCAAATGTGTACTGTTTACAGAAACGTACTAAAACACTAACAGCAGCTCGGGTTCCTCATGCATGGCACTAAAAGATACAGGACCTGGTAGCTATCACGTCAAAGTAGCTTGTAATACCGTGTGCTAACGAGCTAATGGTGCCCACAGTGGATGTTTCCTGTGAACAAAACCACATTTTCGTGAATTTAACAGATTATTCAATTCGACCAGGTATAAAAAAACACGAGCACAATCATAAGAAAGTCATATTTTCGCTCTAAAGTACCACCTACCTTAGTATTTTGTAATAACCATGTAGCTAATAAAGATCTCCTGAAAGACTGTAAAGATCGGCGCATAAATTGTACGTCATCGGCCCGGGTCGATCTGGGAAATGTAGTCCTGAGTGGAAACAAGCCACCGGACAAGTTTTAAAAGCTTAAAACGAGTCCAGTGCGGGTCTAAAATCTATACTGTTGTTATATTTTGGTGAAGATTAAGATGCACTTGTCTCTTTCGGGCACTTTGCACCTTCGTCCTAACCCCAAGCGAGTGACCCCGTCTCGGTAAAACCCGCACACAAAACGTCCTCTCGCGTTGTTTCCGGACTCTGACAGTTGGGGCTGGTCTCATCACAACATCATCGGGGCGTTTCAGGCAACGCTCAGACACACAGTAGCAGTCCCCTCTTATCTCGGAATTGGTGCACTCTGAATGGGATAACACTTCCTTTCCGTGCAGGTTCGTAAAATCCTCCTTTTTGTCATTATTTCACAGGCCTGCCGCTCCAGCTAACACCGCCTGTGTGCTCTTTATGCAGCTTTATTGTTAGCGTTTCCCTCTGTTAGCTAGCCCTGCTGTCGCAGACGGGGGGCCGTTCATGAGTGACTTAGTCCAGCAGGTGCAGCGGACACCAGCCTCAGCTACGTTATCTGACTTTGCATCTTGTAAAATAGCTTTGTCTTGCTGTTTACCTCGCCAAAACCACATTTCCCTGCAGCCTGGTGTTATGGCAGCAACTTAATGTCTTCTGCATGGATGTTGTGGTTTGTGGAAGCAGGCAGCCCTGTGGGGTTATTGTGGGCAGGCCACCATCTGTCCCATGTAAGCTGGCCTCAACAACATGTCAGCTGTATCTGATAGATTATCTCGATCATAGAAGACTTTAAGGTCTCACCAGTAGCTACATACATGCTCCTCCTCCTCAACCAAACGTACCAGGGCGTTACCTTATGTGCTCAGGTGTGTTCATGTGGGTGTAAATTACCTGTCTAGTAAGTTGGGGGGGGGGTTGTAGTCTGACTGATATTTGGAAAAGCCCGAGCAAGGAGTTAAGGTTAGCCAGCTTAGTTAAAGACTCGTTTTTAATTGAAAAATACTTTAAACATGTTATTGTGTGTTGTTATTTTTGGGGACTGTATTGTGTTTTATTGGTTCAATTTTTTAATAAGTCATTGTGATTTTAAGCACATCATAACCTTGTTATAAGAAAATCTAAGTGTATCTATCTGACACATTGATGTTGACTGATAGCTTTAAACTTTACAGCAGCATTGTTTATGACTCGTCTTATCTCGACCCATTAATGCTCCTGTATTCACTGTGACATAATCTAAAAGCTCTTGGGAAGACCTGTGAAAATGCAATGCACTGAGCTCTCTCTCTGTACTAACTTGGTAGATGTTTTTTTTTGCTGAATGATGCTTCTTTTCTGCCTTTAATGAATTAAGTGTTGTTGTCATTTGATGTAATGCAGCTGTTCTTTCTTTTTTTTTTTCAAACCCTGTGTTCAAATGACCTTGTCTACAGATCTTTTCTCTCTCTTTGAGATCTGCAGCCCTTTTTGTTTCTGTGTAAAATCAGTCAGGAGGTTGTCAGTTCTGGTTAGGTCAATATGAGCCATCAACCTGCAGCGGGTGGCTGTCCTAACACTCACTGCGAGGCAGGTACACCCTGGACAGGTCCCTAGTTTGTTACAGGGCTAACATATGTGGACAAATCAACACATTCCCCCAGCCATGGGCATTTTAGATTTGTCATCAGCTGGTGTTTGGCATAGTTGCAGGGCTGACTAGAGCCTGCGACTGCACCAGAGGGGAGTTCAGTGGGATCTCTTTTGGCACACAGAGCCAGAGGTTAATTATGCTCATTTCTAAAATTGTGCAGAATGTTTATTATCTTGTCCTCTTTTTTTATTTTGTCAGTGAGGTCTGTATTTTCTTTCTCTTGCAGATGACATGAAATGTTGATGTGGTAAAAAATGAACAAACCCAAAATGGCCACAGAGAAAGGGTGAGTTGTTTTTCTATTTGGAGACAAACAAATACAATTTCATATGCATACACACACACACACACACACAAACACACATGCAGGCGTTGCTGTGTGTGTGTCTGTGGGAAAGCTGCTCTGTCACAACCATCTGTTCACAAATTCACTCTTTCCCTCACTAAGTGCTTACCTTTACCCTCCCTGATGTGATCCTGTTCTTGTATTATTTTACCGTTTTAACTCTCTGCACCAGTGTTTGTCCCTGCTGCTTTATCTTAGTGTTGTACTGTCTATGGGTGAAAGAGAGTGTGTTTGTGTGGCCTTGCTTGAACCCTTTCCATATGTATTTGTCATGATGACCTTATCTTGAATTCTGTTGTTCTGTTCAGGCTTGGAAAAAAAACTTTCAGTGTGTTGTCCTTATCAAGTATGTGTATTATAATTTGTTGAATTTCTAGTTAACCTGTGTGACTTATGCAGGGTGTTTATTTAGACTTTACTTCTCCTTCAATATGTTTACCTTTGTCCATACTTCATTCATACCTTCATTCTTGCCATTTTTTCACTTTTTTCTTTTTCTGTCTCAGCATACACACACACTCTGTCTCTCTCTGTCTTTATAAGGACATATGAGAAACTCAGCTCCACTCAGTGCAATCACAGAGTTTTGATTCTCTCCCCCATGTTTGCCGTTGCTGTACCAACAACTGACCTCTCACCTTGTGTTTCCAGCTGAGCGCCACTGTGCTAAGGTTATAAATGGGGGATGGGTCACTCTCCCAGGAATAGTGAATCCCTTGGAGACTGCCTCAGTATTTTAAACGTTACCAATTTGTTATTTTTCCTTTAGCTCTGCACTATATTACAGTAAATGCTATTTTGGTTGGTTATTACTCTGTTTTTGGCCAAGACACATTTGACTCACTGTGGGCATGTAAGGGCATGTTTGCATGTGAGGGGCTGCTTTATATCTGTTCTCCAGTGTCCCAATGCTAAATTCTTAGACTGATAAAACTGAATGTTTCTCTATAGCAGGAAATCTCCTGATTTCCATCTGATTTGTTTGTAAATGCAGTTTTATGACACGTTATGCTGCGTGATACTGATCTCTGCCCTTTCCAGAAGGAATGCATTTATAAATGAAGTTACATACATTCCTGTTACACATAGCAGCCATTCACACCCACTGGTCGGCCTCAGGGCGCCAACTAGGGGGCCACAAAGGTAGTGACAAATGTTTTCCTTGGAAACATTTTAACAATCAGAAGTTAATAAAAAAAAAAGTTATAAAAGGTTCAGAAACTACTAATATACAACCTTCCAAAATGTAAAAATGTGTGTGTTTGTGTGCATTCCCAGTGTTCCCAGTACCTCCAGGGTCCTGATGCTCCTGGGCCAGCTGGAGAGGATGAATGGAGAGGCCATGGTGAGGGATGTCGAAATGGCAAGACAGGTCACTGCAAAGATACTTCATCTCATACAGACGCAGGGTGAGAGCAAACACACGCACACACACACAAAATAGGCAATCGTATGTACCCAAACTGAAACAAGATGAGACAAAATCTAGAATTTTGCATGTATTTATGTTTTTGTTTAGAGAACAAGGGGTAGTATATAGTGATGTGGCTCTTGGTACTTGCAACATGAAGCCTTAAACTGCATTGTACCCCATACCTGCATAATAATAATAATAATAATAATAATAATGCATTGTAATATGTTAATCTTAGTCCAAATGCAATATACAATAAAATAGACACAGAGTATGCTGTAATCCACACTATATACGCAAAGCACTGATGGTTTCAGGCTGATTGGCCAACCTATGTGGTATCAAGGACAGACACTGATAGGCACAGACTCTCACAGACAAACAGCCTGTTGATTCAAAAGAGAGTACGCCACTGATTTATTATGGACAGCAAAAACAGATATATCATCCTTTTTATTTCACACATTATTCTTCATTGTTTTAACCACGCACCTACTTTATCCACAACGTGACTGACAACAGTTCAGTCAGAGATTTGGGTGTGATAAGCCAGCAGCGGCTAATGTAGCTTCGAGCCGCTAGACTCAAGCAGAGATAAGGAGCAGGCTACACAGGTCTGGTAAGCTGACTTCTTTTGAACTCCATATCCTCAGATTTATTTCATTAGCAGACTTGTAGTCTTCAGCCCCAAACAACACGTGAAGTGGTACCACTTGAGGCTATTTTTCAGACTTTGCTGAGCTCCCTCTGGAGCCACAAAAGGCTGTAGTACTCCCCAACATCTGTAAATTGACTGATGTGTCCAGTGGACAGAGTTTCCCTTTAAAATGTCTTGATGCAAAGCTTTAGCTTGTCAGGTTGAGTTGATCAATTCATTAAAAATGTGTTCAGTGCGGTCGCTGTGTAAATAGAGATGGGTTAGCGCACCGGTAGTCAAAGTGTGGATGGATTAATAGTGTCTCCCGATCTGCTTCTCTGATTACTCTTTGAAAGGAGAGCAGAGAAGAAGACCTGACATCAGAAGAGGAAGGCTTTGTGCCATGTCTTTGTGTAGAACAGACTGCAACATGAGATAACTGGAAATGCAAGCATCGATGCTCCCTTACTTTTACAATTAGTTAATTAATTGATTCATCAAACAGATTTTTTTGGGGGGGATACTTAATGGTTTAGGGCTGCAACTCGTCTGTCTCAAAGCCCAAGGTGACGTCCTAAAAATGTCTTGTTTTGCCCACAACCAAAAGATGTTCAGTCATGGGGAACTAAATAAACCAGAAAATATTTACATTTGAGAACTGTAATCAGAAGATTTTAATTAAAAACAATTAATCAATTATCAAAATAGTTTAATAGTTGATAACTAATTGACTAATCAGTGCAGCTCTGTTATCCTTATGTCATTTATCAAGAAAAAAGGTCAAACATTCTCTGGTTACAGATTCTTAGTTTTACATCATTGTAAATTGAATTTACAAAACAAGCTGTTCTTGGAAATTTTGATGTTCATTTTTACTACTTTAGGACATTTTATAGACTATGAATCGATTAATCACTTATTTGAAAAACAAATCTAATATTGATACATTAATCGCTTATGAAAATAGTTGATTCTTGCAGCTGTTGGCTAATCGAGATACAAATTGTGGTTTTGTCTTTCTGACTGAAAGGAAGAGTGAGTGAGTGAACGGTGTCATTACAGGCCCAGCTTCATTACTGGAGATTTGACCTGTTTGCGTATGTGGATGCTGACCCACAAACTCCGTATTTGTTTGCAGCTCTTAAGTATACCTTGCCATGGAGCTAGTAGGTTTCAGTTAGTGCTCTTTTCAGTGTGGATTTTATTAGCGAGGACAACCTGTAATCACTTGAGTCAAGCTTTAGTGGAGTCTTTGTGTGACAGTGTGGAATGAAGAATTCTGCTGAATCATTACCGAGTAGTTCTGAGGCTGCTGGCAACTTTTGAACTTGCTTCTTCCTTCTCGCTTTTCTTGAATTTTGTCGTCCCTCTGGCCATAATTTGTTGCTTCCTCTGACTTCAAAGGAAAGTCAGAGTTAATCCATCATGACTGATGGACACAGTGGAAAGGCCCTGTGACCCTGTCAATCATGATATATCAGCTGTTCCTCTCTCATCTACTGCTTGGCTCTCTGTCACACTTTGCCTGCAGCGTCAACGGGAAATGTCTGAGTGTGACGTTGGTTTAAGGGGTAAGTAGGGGGTTCTGTAACCCTGTTCACAGTAACTATACACCCTAGGACGGACTTTGCTGTACTCTGTCTCATATTCACAGTCTTAGGAGATTAGGAAGAAAGTCAAGAGATACCAGCGGAAAGGAAGATAGGGAGAAAGGAAAGCAAGGAGTTGCAAGTTGAGTAGCCATAAACTCACAAGAAATATATAAAAACAATAAAAAACAGTCCACAAGCAATATGAGTTTTGGTTTGGTTTAGTAGAAAATTAATTCAGTCTTAGAGGCTGCAGTTTTCTTTTTTTATTGCTCATTTGCTGTCAGAAACTGTTTTCATTTTAGTATGGCAGATCTCTTTTTCCTCATGGTGCTGAGTAGGGGGGTCAGGAGAAAGGGGAGAGGACGTGTGAGGAGAGGTATCCTATACAGTCAGTTTTCTATAGGGGCAGTTGGTGGTTTAGTTTCTGGTCGCGTGCAAGGTGAGGTGCTGATTACTGGGTTCAGAGTCTTTCACCTAAGCTCAGTGTGTTGGTACACAGTTGGAGGATTGACCGGCTGAATAGTTTATTTAGAGGGATAGAGAAAGTGCCTTAACGCTTCATACAGACTGTCAAACTGTTGAGCGTTTAGGTTCACAGTAGACTTGTGCTGTAAGCTTAGGACTTCAGTGTCAGTCCACCTGTGATTCTGGAAAATTTGACTAGAGAGTTTTGGTGACCTTCTGAGATCTTTGTTATGAAATGGAGTACCACTACAACAGGAGATACTATCAATCTGTGGTCTCCCTGGAACCGCCAGGTACGTCCCAGAATGCTGAAAATATACTGGAAAAATATTTCATGTATTTCAACTGGTTGAAGTAAGCTATGCAATATGTCAAGATATAGATTTTCACATATCTTAGCATTATTTATGATGGCAATTCAAGGAGCGTTCAAACATGTTTTACTTCTCTCTGGGTCAAGTAAGTACGGGAAGTGAGATTAGAACAACCACTCTGACTTTTACAACCTCCACAGTTCATGTTCTGTACTTTTAGCAGTCAACTTGAGCTGACTAATAACTGTAATCACTAGAAAAGTCATAAATTATGGTTTTTAAATTGAAGGGCAACATCTACAGGACATTGTGTAGATCACAATTAGCTGGCACAATCTGCCATCATAAAGGTTCATTCTTATTAGAATCCACCTTTTAACAAACAAAATAAAATCACTGCAGTTGTACAATGCAGTAAATAGATAGAAATTGCATCAAATAATTATTGCTTATTATATTTTTTCCAGTGATGCTCTCTAGTGTAATCCCTCATGCTTTTTTTTTTAAGGATTAGTGTTGAAATGCCATTTGGTTTTGAATAGCTTTAAAAAGTCTGGCATGAAAGAAATGTTTAAGAGGTCACCGCTCTTCAAAGCACGGAAGTGTGTGCGTGTCTGTCTGTGTGTTCACATGCTCAGATATGCACACAGTTGTGCCCGTCTGGAAAGTGAGTTTGTGGAAAGTGTGTGTGTAACCACATCAGTTGTGTTTCCACTGTGTAAGTGAACTTCAATATGCTTATTGGCGCAAGATCATCAATTATGAAAGCACGGTGACACCCTTTCCACATTCACCTGCTGTTATGATGCGTTCCTATTCAGTGACACTCCGAATGCACAGACACATGAACCCTTCATGTGTGTAAGATCATCACCAGGTGATATAACTCTCCAATTGTGGTATTGAGTGAGCATGCTTCTGCCGCAATCTGCTGCCGCACAAGAAATCAGACTTCCTTGTTAATATGAAAGGAAAATCTATAATTTATAATCCTGTGTAAACTTCAATGTTGGCTTGAATAAGTCATTTTTAAAAAGGCTGGAGGACTTCTCTCAGTCCTGTGTTTGCTTTGAGAGCTTGCATTTGTCTCAGGACATAAACAGGACAGGACCACCACCTGGAATCTGTCAGCTCCTAAATTGGGTACGTTTCAGAGGTAACTGAAAGTCAGAGAGTAAGAGAGGAATAAAAGTGAGCAAAACCAAACTATATGTTGTCTTGTTAAGTAGGACAGTAAAGCACATCATTTGACACAATGTAAAACTGTGCTTTAAAGATACAGTATCTAAATATATATTGTGAAATGCAGCAGAATCTTTCAGACTACAAATAACGCAAGACAGTTGTCTTCTCACATTCCAAGATAATCCTCTGTGACATTGTGACTGGTGTTTGTTGGTTGACCGGACATATGGGAGAGCCTGCTGTACTTGGAATAACTCAGTTGTTTTGCACAAGTTGCGGCACAGTTTGTCTTCACATTTTTGATGATTGTTATTTTGTTGTGTGTTACAGAGAAGAGTGGAAAAGAGGTGATGTCCAAAGGCTCCAGTGGCATGGAGGTCATCCTGGCTTCACTGGAGGTCAGCTCACTGATCAACACAACTGGATGTAACAGTTTTTAAACTTGAAGCTTTAGCATTAAGCTACCCCTCTTTCTGCTAAGCTAAGGTTTACTAGCTGCTGGTGGTAGCTTCACATTTAAATAAAGACTTGAGAGTGGTATCAATCCTCTTGTCTAACTCTGAGCAAGAAAGCTAATAAGTGTGTCAAACTCTTTCTTTCAGAATGTGTATTTTCCTCCCTTTGTGAGATACATGATGTGAACTTTGGCAGAGTAAAACATTGCATGTAGAGACATAAACAGTGCATCTATTAATTTGTATGAACAGCTGTGGCCCCTGCTGTGGATGTCACATTGATGAATTGTTTGATGCCAGATTAAACTGCACATCCAGGACAGAGAACATATATATATATATATCCTGTATATTGTTTACTAAGTGTTTTATGTGTGTCTCTGACAGAACACCCGGGATGTCCAGACCACTCTGAACATTTTGTACATTCTCAGTGAGCTACTGACTGTGGGTGAGTTTTTTTAAATTCAACATTGATGAGCAGTTCCTGCCCTGATTTTTGGGAACTGATAATAGCATTTAATTTCTTGCTGAATAATGACTTAGTCTGCAATTTAACTGTCATTTCTAATTTAAAAGGTAGGGTACATCCAAAGTGCTCACTTTTTCATGAATGTGAGAAGTATTTAACATATTATAAAAGCATAAACAATACATTTTGCCACTTTAATAACTGTAAAGGTGGCACATTGTAAATCTAGCTGGGACTGTTTAAGTGTTTTACAGGATTTCAACTTCCTTATTCATGGATTCCTACAGTACCTTAAGGCAATTTATTCTCCTGGCCATGTTGTGTTTATCCCATCGTGATTTATGCAGTTGTATTGGTTGTTTTTTGTCTTAGGCAGAGGTCGTAGGGTGGGAGTATTTGTGTCTAAAGGAGGAACGGGGATATTGTTCCAAATTTTGATCACTGCCAGTAAAGAGTTGCCTCCGAGTGAGGAACTCATGCTGCAACTTCACTCACTGCTGGCCAAGGTTGGCCCAAAAGGTAGGCCAAAATATAATGTCACTTATGTCAGCTTAAGTTTGGTTATTGGTGCCCTGTTGAGTTTTCTTGTTAACAAATAAAAAAATAAGTTTATATTCTGTATTTCTCACCAGAATACATTGTTTGTTGAGGTCTAACATGTTAAGTGCATTTGTTCCACATACACAAATTTACAAAGCAAATTTTAAAAAATTATGCATGTAAGCACCATCTGTGTCTGTGAATAATGCAAACAAAATAAATGGGTACTTGTAACATTGCCCTGTAGCACTACTAGTGGTCAAAAACTCTACAGGATGCCCTTAAGACTGTATTGTTATCCAGTGCTTTGCAAAAGAGACAAAAACACAGAAAATCTGATTATTCTCTGCATAATCCCTGATATTTCATCCTCTGTGTTCAGACAGAAAGTTTGGGGTGAAGGCACGTTTGAGCGGAGCTCTGAACGTCACCGTCAACTTAATGAAACAGAACATACAGAACACCAAACTGCTTCTGCCCTGCCTGCAGGTCCTCAGAGTTTACTCTACTAACTGTAAGTCATTGTAAACACTTCCCAAATTGTTGCATTTCTCTCTTTTTCTGGAATTAGAGCAGATTATCCCAAGAAATACAACAGCATCTAGGACTAATACAAATCTGTGAATAATATCAGCACTGTTAACTATTCAGTGGCATTTTATATCTACCTGATACTGTATGCCCTCATTGCTGTGTCTGTTTTTGTTCAGCGGTGAATGCTATTTCTTTGGGCAAGAACGGAGTGGTGGAACTCATGTTCAAGATCGTCGCGCCGTACAGCAAAAAGAACACCAGCCTGCTCAAGTAAGCGGTTGATTGTGTTAATGAGCCAGCATGAATGTTGTGTTCTGACAATCTAGTGACATCCACAGGCTTTACCTCTTTCGGGCAGAGTTTTTTAACATCTGTCATTGATGTTTGTTCAGCAGACCATGTAACGCATTTGCCTTGTTTCTAAATCAACAGGGTAGCTCTGGACGCACTGGGAGCACTGCTCAAATCCAGTGAGTAATTTGCTTTGTAGCATTGACTTTTGACTCTTCAATAGTGTAGTGATCCTTCCTTATTACTCTTTGCGTCCATGCAGTATTGTCCCCTTCTGCTTCTCTCACCTCCATCATCATTAAGCCTTTGCTGTAGACAGTAAATGATCATTCGACTTGGGTTTCAAGTTACCTAACCCCCAACTTTCTTCTCCCATGCTTCTCTTCAACCCATCCCACAGTCATAAAGTAAAAATGATCAGCACTTTCTCTCCTCCCTCTTCCACTTCCCTGTGCAGAAACTAATGCTCGCCGTGCAGTGGATGGTGGACATGTGCCTATCTTGCTAGCTCTCTACCTGGACTGGCACCGCAATGACACGCGTCATCGCCACATGCTGATTCGCAAAGGGCTGCTCGTCTGCCTCAGGAACATCACCAACATCAAGCTCGGCCGGAAAGCATTCGTAGAGGCTGATGGCATGAGGGTCCTCTACAACTCATCCACTGTGAGTGAGAATGAGACATACACATGGCAAATAATCAAAGCATGCAACACATATGTACTGTACACACACACAGTCTCATCTGTTCTCTACTTTCTGTCTGCTTTTATTTCTAGGAGTGTCTCCCAGTCCGGACTCTGGATCCTCTGATCAACACATCCAGTCTCATCATGAGGAAGTGTTTTCCGAAGAACCGTCTGCCTCTGCCCACCATCAAATCGGCCTTCCACTATCAGCTGCCACATGTCCCCGCTGTAGGGCCTGTGGCACAGCTGTACAGCCAGCCACCTGGGGGTGAGAACACAGGACGCACTGACAAACACACACACATACACTTCACTAGAGTGTGCCCCAGCTTATCACAGTGTATGTGTGCTACTTTCATTGAATATTATGCAATAGGGACAGACACATAGACTTTTTTATCGCTCCTAGATTCAATTCTACGTAACACACAGTCACACACATAAATAATGATTATATCCCTGGAACGACTAAATGGTTACTGGCATCACTCTTGACACTGCTGCACACAATGTGCCTTACAGGAAGAAAAGTTCATCAGCTCTGCAACAAGCCCTTAAAGAAGGGTAAGACGTACGTAAGACGCAACTCCATCCTCAGAATGCTTTCTCATTCACCTCACATCATACTCTAACTTCACTAAACTGACACATCACATGTGTTAGGAATAAAGGTGTAATAAAGATGCTTAGTGCACATTGCTTGGTGCTTGCTTTCTCACTAGTTAGACTTATGTACTTGGACTGTACTCACCTAATTTGCTTCCTTGCGTTCACAGGCTGTCTGGTAAAATATTTGAGCTCTTCCCTCAGTCTGATCTAAAAGAAAACATGTCCAATCAAAAATGTATTTTTTCATGTGGCACTATAGGTTGAATCTTCTCAATGTACATATGAGTTAATTTCCCCCCTTTAATGTTTTGCAGAGTGCAAAATCGAACAGCAACTCCTAAAAAAGCACTGAGGACAATTTTGACAGCTCTAATTGGCAAAAGCAACCCGAGTAATTGCCTCAAAGTCATGTTGACTAATTAATATTCCCAAAAACATGTCGCTGATGTCAGTTACCCAACCATGGAGAACAGTGTAATGTAACAAGCTACTGCTACTACATAGACTTGTCAGTAAGATCAAAAGGTCCATGTGTTTGAAGAAATATACTAAAAATTTCTTCTGTCTTTTAAATCTCTCACTCATTGCTGGATCATGGCTGCTCACATCTTTTGCTAACATTTTCTCTCTTCCTGTCATTGCAATGAGACTCAATTACCAAAAACAGTTGAGTTCTACCAGTCTGGTTGGTTTGTTGCTACTTTTTATTACTATTCATCTTTTTTTTGGGGAATACTTCCCAGCCGTATAAGTATGTTTGTTGTTAATAGCGACAGTCCCCTTATATATATGTGTGTGTGGTGGTGTGTGTGTGGGTGTTGGTTGGTTTTTTTTTTTTGTTTGTGTGTGTTTGTTGCTGTTGTGTCTTGCGTTTGTTGCGTTCTATCTTTCTCTCTATTTTGTTGTATGGAACGTTGTCGACGAATTTTTTTTTTTTAGGTTGACTGGAATTTATCGACGGGAGACAGACGCGAGACACAAGAGATATCTGTATATTTCTTTGTGGATGATTACCGATTATTTTGTCGAGTATTTGATGTAATTTATCTAGCGGTTCTTCTTGCGGTATATCGAATATTGGCGATATAGTGTTATTTATATTCACTAAATGTTTATGGCTCATTGTTATTAATAGAATATTCTACATATCTTTATGCTAAATCATAATTTTATTAATATTGATATATATTATATATTGGGTCATCATATAATTTTATGTGGAGCTGATGTTGATGCAATCTAATTGCACTCCTTCACATTTCCAGCAGAGGGCAGTCATAACTCACCAGACAGTGCCAAACACTCTCCTATCACTATGTCAAACATGTCAACCATGTCTGATAGGCATTTACAATTCCAGATTTAATCCAAATATTGTTTGCCAGGGAAAGAGAGTGAGTAAGCAATCCAGGGGAGGCACTCAGAGTTTCCAAACACCACTAAATCCCCCTAAAATGAAAGCAAAATAATAAGTGGTTGGTTTTTGGTGTCTTTATACAAGACTCACACTTTTGTTATTTTCTCATTAGCTGCAGTTCTTTTTTTCCTTCTTTTCTCCATCTCATAATCCTTGAGACTTAAGCAATAGCTCAGATACACCCAGACAGCCCAATGGTCTGATGGTTACCAGTTGTGTTTGCTCTCTTTTTAATCAGAATGACGACATAGAGACGGACCTAAACAAGCTACATCCCAAAAAGAACCCTGGACGTCCTTTTGAGGAGTTGAGAGTCTATGAGAGGTTCTTCTTGGAGCTTTCTGAAGACTTCCAGGTCAGTATTTTGTGCACATGTTGATACGATTTCACAGTGGAAAGCAAAATGACCAAAACATCACTGTCTTAAATGAATTTAGGTTGAATTGGTATATTAAAAGTATGTGACAGTACAAGACTGTTCAGTTATGTCAGGTTAGTTAGTTTTACTTTTTTAATCCTACTATTTTTTTCTATACATTTTTTATTTAATATTTATTTGATTATATTCAATTTAATTACACTGAATTTAATAGATTTTTCATTATAGTTATTATTTATTTTCTCATTTACTTTTATTACTTGCAGTGTATGTTGCTCCTGGTTATTTTTGTGTATTGCTTTTAATGACAAAAATTAACGTCAAACTGTGTGTGTCTTGTTAATAACTGCAATAACTGTGTGTCTTTAAGCCTTTGGCTCATTGTACATGAAGGGCCTGATGAAGGTCTTGGAAAAATGTTGCTTGGTCTCTTCTACAAACATTTGTTTCTGATAAAAAATATCTTATTCCTACAGGGTTATAACTTTGAATGCTCAAAGAGTGCCTCTACCACATCTTCATCGTCATCCTTCTCCTCATCATCAGCCTCAAGTCAATCCACTCGGCCAATCATAGTGCCCACAGCTCAAGCCCTGTCCCCAAAGCACGTCCCCGTACCGAGCACTCAGGAGGATTGCAACCCCACCAAAGGAAAACACACGCTGCCGTCTCCTTCTGCGACCACTCCTACTCCTCCTGCTCCCCTAACGCCTCTAGAACTGGACACCATCCACCTCACCAAGGACCAAGACAAAAAAGAGGAGGGCCACATTCCTTCCCCCGACACACGTACAACATTGTCCTCGCTCACCAGGCCTCCTTCTCAAGGACAGATGATAGAACAGGAATTAGCACATGTGCTGGAGTGTGTCTCTTTAGAAGAGGAGGGGGTCCTAAAGGCAGAGGAAGGAGGAGGAAGGGGAGTAAAACAAGAAGAAGGATCCCCAGTCAATGCCACAAGACACATACAGTCCCCTCTGCTCTTGGGGGGTATTGCTACGCGTCGTGTGGGTGGAGGAGGCAGTAACTGGGGTTCGGATTGTGGCTCAGAGGGCACGGAGGATGAAGGAGGGGAAGGAGCAGTTCTGGAGGTGCCAGACACGGCTCTGCTCCTACCGATGCATGACCCTGACCTTTACGTGGAGATGGTGAAGGGAACAAACTCTGTACCCCAGTACGCTGAAGTGGCTTACCCCGACTACTTTGGCCATGTAGCCCCAACATTTAGGGAACCTCTTATGGAGAGAGTTTATGGCGTCCAGAGGTGAGACATTCATAGGAAAGTTATTTGCAGAAATCATTAAGCATACAAACTGAAGAGTATGCAGATGATTGAAAACTAACTAACTAACATTAATAACATAAATCATGCAATTAGGAGGAACAGAGTAAAAACCAACAAACAAATATTTTGAAACATTTCTAAATCTTTGCCTTTAAAGTCCAAATTGGCTTTTCAAACTAAAGTTTACACTTTAAACTCTGTGGCGTGTGGAATGTTATAGTAGCGGGGAAAAAGCATTTATTATAGCTTATCTCATTCATCCTCATTAATAAATAATATTTTTAATGGAAAACATTTTTACCCATTCATTGTTTTGTTGTTGTGGGTCTAACCCTGCAGGTCTAAGATATTCCAGGACATTGAGAGGTTGATTCATCCTAATGATATCCTGGATAAAGTAGTTTACGATCTCGACATCCCCAGGTGAGTTTCTATCTACTAATCTAAAGCATTACATCACTCTGGCTAAATCATCGTGGCTAAAATCACAACTTTTACCATCCCAGTGACAAAAGCTACAATTTGTCCTTTTTTTCTGATCATACCGAGAGCTGTGACATTCACAAAGCTAATTAGCTCAATTCATCATCCATATATTGAGAAGGGTAATGACTTCTCAAGAGTGTTGTTTGTCCCTCCTAAATATTGTTGTGTTTTTTTTTGTGTTTCAGTTGTCCTGTAATTGAAGACAGTGGCGAATCTCTGAAGTTTAACTCTCAGTTTGAGTCTGGCAACCTCAGGAAGGCAGTTCAAGTTAGGAAGTAAGTTTTATTGTCAAGTCAATAACGGGAACAAGTTAGAGTCCAAATTTCAGATGTGCAGTTTTAATTAAATCACCTTCTATCGCATTAATAACATTTAAAGCTGTTGTCAACTTTTACTATATTCAGCTTTCTTCTTATGTCAACTTAATAGAAATTAGATTAAAAACAAAATATTTATTGCATCATTATTGTTTATGGTTGATGATGTTTGGGTCCCTGTTTACAGTTTATGTTGTGGTGTCTCTTTAGATATGAGTATGACCTTGTGCTGAATTCAGACATCAACAGTAATCACTACCACCAGTGGTTCTACTTTGAGGTGAGCGGCATGCGTGTTGGGAGTACCTACCGCTTCAACATCATCAACTGTGAGAAGTCAAACAGCCAGTTCAACTATGGTGAGACTCTAAACAACATCTGGATAAAAAACAAAGTGAAACACCCAACAGTTGTTTTGATAGTTCTTCATCTGAGTGTGAGCATCAGAGAGCACAAATTCTGAGCTTTTGTACCTTTCTCCTTGTGTGTGTGTGTGTGTGTGTGTGTGTGTGTGTGTAGGCATGCAGGTGCTCATGTACTCTGTGCAGGAGGCGATCAGTGGCAGGCCTCGCTGGGTCAGAATAGGAACAGACATCTGTTACTACAAGTAGGTACACTTAGAATGCAGAGGACCTGGCAATATATTGAGGGGAAAGGCAAAAAAATAGTGTTACAGTTACATGAGGGGCACCAAAAACTGAACATTATAAACCAGGTGGAATTTATGGCAGAGCTGCCGTTTGTACAGGTGTACCTAATAAAGTGGTCAGTGAGTGTATGTGTTTAAGGTAGATAAGAGAATTAAAAGGTAATTAATTCATTAATTCATTAATTAAAAGGTGCTATATTGTCCAACATTTACTCATGAAATGTTCCTCCTTCTCCACAGGAATCATTTCGCGAGGAGTTCCATCGCAGCTGGTGGTCAGAAAGGAAAATCCTATTATACAATGACTTTCAGCACAAATTTCAGCCACAAGGATGATGTCTGCTACTTTGCCTATCATTACCCTTATACATACTCCACTCTGAAGGTAGTTTTACAATACCACTGTTTGCTGTGATTTAGAGAACATTAGCATTTTGTAGTGTGTTTGCATGTGCTCACACAGTAATTATTACTCTGTTCTCCTGTTGCTAAGCCCCCCAGTGTGACCACAGATGCACCTGCCTCTTGATGGATTCCAGTGTTTTGTTTCCAGTGTTTTATCATTTATATGTCCTCCAATTATGAGCTCTCAAACTACCGTACACTGATTATGTCAACAGTTATGTTATTATAATTAAATTTTGTCTGCCTTTATCAAGGGTGACCATCCAGAATTGCCTGTAATACAAGCAACAATAGAGAAGCCCAATCTGAATCACTTTATCACAAGTGGCCTAATAAGCAGCCGGCACAACAATACAACAGTAAAACCCAAGAGGCGTAGGGGCTCAAATGGAAGTTGTAGATAATAATGTTAGTAAGTGAAAAACTGTAATTTGTTATTCTGTCATTGTATCATCAGATGCACCTGTCCAAACTGGAGGCTTTGAGGACCCCTCAGATTTACCTGAGACAGGATGTCCTGTGTGAAACCCTGGGGGGAAATGGCTGCCCCCTTCTCACTATCACTGCCATGCCGGAGTCCAACTCCAATGATCACATCTGTCAGTTTAGTAAGTAAATCAGTGTAGCTTGGTGTACATGTATCTTTTATTTATTTTTTATCTCAGCTGCAAGATTTCTGGTGAAATAAGGTTAAATGAATCCCAGATGTTAACATTTAGCCAGAAATGTTCCAGGAATCATTTTATTCTTCTAGAAAAATGTTGCAACAAAATCATGATCACAGCATCTCATTCACATCTTCAGCAAACTGAGCTCTTTCAGGGCAAAGAGTAAGCAAGCAGACTTATTATATTTGATTATTTTGTAACAATTCATTAGTTAGTTAAACCTTCTAATGCTTCGCTCCTGGATATTGTCCTTGAAGAATTTTACCAACACCTGACTGAAATGTTCCTTTTTCAGTAATGCTCATGAATATAGTGAATATTACTATACCAGAAAAGCCCTGGGGTGTCAGGCCATGCAACTACTTCCCAAATAGGTTTTCTGTCCACTGTAGTTCACTGATGCTGTTTCTCAGCCGTGAAAAACTTTAAATTGAAGATTTTTTTTCTTTTTTTGCTCATTCCATCTCCCTCTGTTTGTGTTTGTGCTGCGCTCCCTCTCTCTCCTTCTTCAGGGAATCGTCCATTGATCTTCCTGTCGGCCAGAGTGCACCCTGGAGAGACCAACGCCAGCTGGGTAATGAAGGGCACGCTGGAGTTCCTGATGGGCACTAGCCCGCTAGCAGCCAGCCTGAGAGAGGCCTACATCTTCAAGATAGTCCCCATGCTCAACCCTGATGGAGTTATAAATGGAAAGTGAGTTAAAAAAAAAAAGAGTCTCAAGAAAGAAACAAACGCACATTCACAGCTTTCAAGTATACACACTGAAGACACATACATCTGCTGAACCTGGGCCTGCACGTTGGTCACAGCTTTATTTATATTAACACACAAAATCTTGTCTTGAAATATTCTCTAGCTGTTGCTCTGTTTTCCTCCACTCTATATATCCTTCCCTTCTTCTGCCGTCTCCTTTCTGCTGTAGTCATCGTTGTTCTCTGAGTGGAGAGGATTTGAATCGCCAGTGGCAGAACCCCAATCCTGAGCTCCACCCCACCATCTACCACACTAAGAGCCTGCTGCAGTACCTTGCACACATACAGAGGGCACCACTGGTATGACCTCTAATTAACTGGACTTAAATTACTTTGGGGCATTTTGCACGTTGCTGCATCATCTGTCATTTGGGAAGTATAAAAGAAATCTCTCCTAACATCTCTTTTAATGGTGGTGCCGTCCCTCCGGTTCAGCTGCACACTCTGGCTGCATGTCCACTAAATTTCCCATCAGGTAATCACCAAATTAGTTTGGAGACATGAATGCAGTTGCCATAAACAACAGCCTCCATTGGCCTCTGTGCTACAGTGTGTGTCAGCAAGTTGGATATAATGGGATATTGCTTTGATGGGAGATGTGTTTACTCTGCAAGGGTGATGACTTTACAACACAAAGCAAGGTGAGGTTGCTGTCCTTCCTCTGGAAACAGACCCAGGAAAATGTCTTGAAAAATATGAGCAGTAACAATGACATCAGTGAACCATTCAACTTAATAGTGCAGTAACACAGTTCATTTGATGATTAGTGAATTAATTTCAGGTATTGTGTTTTTACTTTTTTTTTATTTTTACATAGCCACTTAAGTAAACGAGTCTGTAAAAATAGAGGAAGAGTAAATAAAGCCAATGTTGGTTCACTGTCTTACTGAGAAATGCAATGTTAAAATAATGCATCACATTCTTAATGCTTTCCTTTCTCCATGTCCTATGTGTCTTTGTGTGCATGAACGCACAGGTGTTTTGTGACTACCACGGCCATTCCAGGAAGAAAAATGTGTTCATGTACGGCTGCAGCGTGAAGGAAACAGTCTGGCAGTCCAATATCAGCGCTACATCCAGTGACTTACAAGAGGACCTTGGATACAGGGTGAATACACACACACACACACGTGCTGTGCCACACAAAAGTAAATGAACACCCACTGATCCTTACCTCTCTCTCAGTCTTCCTTTCTGTTTCAGATTACTGTGCTCACATCACTGCACAGGTCTATCCTGTGTAGTGTATCCATTGAAATCCGGTTCCTCACTTAAGAAGAGATTGTAGCACCATTTTACATCACCTTACAATATTTTTGCACGTTAAAACTGAGTTAGAGTTTATCTCCTCATTGTTTAGTTTACGCCCTAAATCTACATAATGATACTTAATCTGTTTGCAATAACATCGATTTCAACATCAGCGCCTATCTGACAAAAATCCCCAATTTTAGTAATTCACCTTGATTAGTTTTTTCTCTCCATTCACCAGTCAAGCTGGTCAGGTCAAGATCAGGTTGTTGTTTCTCTCTGCATTTGGGAATTCAGAAAATATATCTCACTGAGCAGAATGCTAATAAAGGAGCTAGTTCAATGCAGAGTTTCCTAGTGGACGTGTAGCTTCAGGCTACAAGCCCACAGCAAACATTTTGGTTTGCAACAGTCAATACTGCTTTCCCAAGCAACTGCTCTGTACACAAGCCCATCTCTGTTGGACACAGTTATTTGTCCCTACTATAAAATGTACTTTATCGTTTGCTTTTCATGTGTTTTTCAGGCACTTCCTAAGATCTTGTCCCAGATTGCCCCAGCCTTCAGCATGGCAAGCTGTAGTTTTGTTGTGGAGCGCTCCAAAGAGTCAACCGCCCGCGTTGTTGTATGGAGAGAGATTGGAGTGCAACGCAGCTACACCATGGAGAGCACGCTCTGTGGTTGTGACCAGGGCAAATATAAAGTAAGTGTGTATTTAATTTTGTTTATATGGTATGGACAAAAAAGACCTGTCCAGTTAAAGTTCAGTAGAATAACCTGCAGTTAAATACTCCTCCACACATTTTTGGAGCATTTTTTGCCTTTTTATTATAGAGACGGTAAAGAAAAATGACAAGAAATGTGAGGAGGTAGAGATGGAGAAGGACAAAGACTGCGACCAGCTAGTATGTATGCCAATAAACAATGGAGTAAATTATTCAGAGCTATTTTCCTTTCTGACAAAATCTTAACAAAAAAGTATCGCAGTGTCGAGGTGTCGTGTCCACCCTCTGTAAGTGAGAGGGAGGTGCCTCTATAAATCTCCAACTGTCCACCAGGTGGAGCTGCAGTCCTTTTTCCACTTTGCATCTGCTTCACCTCTGTCTTTTCTCCTTCTGTCTTTTGACCCCTTTACCTCCCTTTCTTCTCTCTCTGTCTTTCCATCCCAGCTGATTTCCTTCCTCCTAAATTCTGCCAATGTCAACATCTTACATATGCAGAGGTAGTCTAGGGATGCCATTTTGGCACTGATTAGCACCCCCTCTGGTTTGTGTGGAAGTATTTGTCCAGATGTGCAGGAACTAATGTCTACTGAAATGAGCTGCATATCTCTGTGGCCAGGCCAAGTTTAGATGTTCCTAGCTCTGCTCTGGGGAAAAAGAAACATGAAAGTTTTGGGGTTTTGGGTTGAGCTGGGGGTAAGCTCTGTGTGTGTGTGTGTCTCAGGGCGAGTATTCATTTACTTGTATCACTGTACAGCATTGTGAAGACTTTGAGGGTTGCAGGTGTGAGTGCATATGCGTTTGAATGTGTGCTTCCTGCAAATGAAATATATTATCATGTTTCTACATGAAAAGTTTCCTCAGCAAGTGCTTTCCAGCATTGAGAATTGGGACGTTTGAAGATGGACAACGGCTCCATCCCCAGACTCCAGAGCAGCTATAAAAAATCACAGAAACCATTTTAAAGTAGATTTCTGTTAAACCTTTGAAATTATTTTTTAAATTAATCTGTCGAAGTGTGCACAGACTGTGCATGCAAGTTTGTGTGATTGTGATGTTTTTGTGTGTGACTGTATTGACGTTAGTATTTTAAATTCTCTTTGATGTACATGTTCTTTTCAGGGTCTTCAGATCGGTACAAGAGAGCTGGAGGAGATGGGAGCTCAGTTCTGCGTGGCCCTGCTGAGGCTGAAGAGGCTGACGGGGCTCCGCAACCACCAACACCTGCTGGATTTGGAGAGCGATATCATCGGGACACAGTCTAAAGTGGTCAGGTTAGTAAAGTGGAGCAAGCCACAACACACAGTTCATGCAGGTGCACACAGATGCTGTGACAACTATACTAGTAGAAATGATGATGATGGTGGCATCAACGACAGCCACAGACTCAGATCTTTTTATTTCTCTCCATTGTAAATGCTTTGTTATCCTCATGCAACTTTTTCAAGATGAGATGAGATGTTTAAAGTGTTTTCTGTTGTTACAAATTCTACCTGAAAAACAGTAAAATGGCCATAGTCTTCTTTTTTGCACAAAACACCCTCCTCACTGCCAGACACGTTCCCCCTTGGCACTGATACTTTACTCAACGGTGAGACTGTCCGGATATCCTCTGAAGCACTACTCAAGAAACAAATGTAGGCCTGCATTTATACACGGCTGCTGTGAGCATCATTGAAATTCTATCAGTGTGTGATGAATATAATGAAAACTCTGGAGTGAGAGGGGGAATGGGTATGAATAATTGTCAGCAGTGTTATTATTTCTCTAAGAGAGCGTATAACAGCCACAAGATCTTTTTTTATTTTTTTTTATAAAACCATTTACACCGACACAGTGAGGTTTGTGAGGGCACAGGATGGTACCCATGCACATTAAATGCACAGGGAACATGCAAACCAGTACACTGCCTTCCTGCACAACCGCTTGTAGCTGGAATATTTTAGCAGAAAGAAATATATTAAAGGGATCAGTGTCAGAACGTGTGCTCATCCACTTAAATGCCAGTGCATTCGAGGGATGGCAGCATTGAATGTTCAACTGTAAGACAAACAGTAATTTGACTAGTCAAATCGAACAAATCGTATCTTGCTTATCGCTCTCGTCACA